AGAATGAAAACACTAACTTCAGATCTGGAAAAGCCGGGTCTTTTTGTTTCCCTTCAAAAATAAGTTGAAAGGGTACAGTGTTTACCTTGGTATAAAATCATCTATTCCCCAATACCACCCATACTTATAGCCATGCCAATGTGGAACATCTGAAGACAGTGCAATTTCCTAAAGTGTCACCTGTATAGCCACTTAATTTATGCCAGTTATCTGCAGTGTGAGCTTAAGTTTCCCAAATAGACAGCTCTTTCCCTAAAACAATTTGAAATAGGGGAGTGAGGGCAGGAAGTGACCATTTCTAAATACAGTATTTATATCAGAATTCTTATGCCCTTAATGCTAAAATTGTTTCCCTGACTGTGTAGCTAAAGACATCCAAAAAGTATAATCTACCCCTCCCAGCTGGTGAAACAAAAGATCAAGTGTCAGAGTTGGCAGCCAAACCTCTATACCAGGGAACACTGAACCTGAGAGGTATAGTAACATAGTGGCTAAATAAAGTCTGTCTTTAGGCAAATAGACATGGGTTGGAATCAGAGTTCAGTCACTTACTGTTCCCACAAATGCAAAATATGGCTAACAAAAACATCTCTCCCACAGGGTTACTGTGAATGTGAAAAGGACAGGTTGGAAGGTAAACACTCCGTATGTGTCAGTGCCAAAATTTCATTCCAGAGACTTGACAAAGTCATCTGTTACTGTTTCAGGCAGGAGAGCACATGAGCCGCCCCCACTGACTGCTTTCTCATTTCTCCTTTAAAGTCCTCAAAGGAGCTTCTGCTCTCAGAGGCAGGAGTGGGGAACTGCTAAGAAAATCAGCTCTGGGATTTGTATCTCAGCTAGTCCATTTACTAGTTGTGACTCCTGTGACCCATTTTATTTCCTTCATCTGTGAAATGGGAGTAATGATAAAAAAATACATTAGCCATCTCAGAGGGTTATTATGAGGAGTCAACCAGTCAATACCTAAAAAATGCACAGAACAGTGCCTGGAATATACTAAATGTACAGTAAACATCAGTCATTACACTTCTCCCCATAGGTGATCTATTCTAAACTTTCAGCATGCAGAAAACAAAATTATTCTAGAATTCTTTAATGTTAGAGGACTCTTAGGTATCTTTTCTACTCCAACTTTCTCATTTAATAAATGGTCTCCAGGAAAGACCAGAGCTGGTTATATGCTCTGCCCATTATTAAAATCCAGACCTCCTGATTCCTATCCAGTGCTCACATCACACCACTGTACTTCCTCTTAGTGAAAACAATAGGGTCATTCATTCTCTCCTCCCTGCAAACCCCTAGGCCATCTTCTAGAAAAAGCCAGAGTCCCTTAAACATCCTGGAAGAAATCTTACTTAAGATTTTCAGGAACCACTGCTCCAGGTAGCACTTTTTTGAACAAAAGTTTAAAATACTAATTCCTTTCAGGAACAATCAAATATTCTTCCTTGGGCAGACATAATAATAAACATTAAATACTTTCTAGGAGTGTGATACAATATTAAGTGCCTTTTGCTTTTTCATTTAATCCTAACACAGCCTCCCTGCCTCAAATCACCCTCTCACAATTCATATCAGTGTCATGTAATGCCTGCTTACTTGTCTTGACAGTCTTCAAACTTTAAGCTGAAAAGAAATGCAGGGAACTCAGTGATCATGTGTATCATTCATTTCTTCTTTCAACAAACATTTCTGAGCATGAATAAGACAGAAATGGTCCTGACCTACTGGGGCAGAATATGCTTTCCAAAGATGGTTGCAAAAGTCTCTCCCATTCCACGTGCTCCTCTTGACCTCAACATTCCTCCCATAGGGATGGGAGAAAGGGGAATGGTTAATGTCCCTTCCCTTGGAACATGTCCATAAAGAGTACAGTAGAAGTGATGCTATGTGACTTGTTTTAAGATTAGATGATAAAAATACTATGTATTTCTACCTTGTTCTCTTGGGGTGCTCACTCTTGGAATCCAGCTGTAATACTGTGATGAAACCCACATGGAGAAGTAACCAGTTCAGTTGAGGCCAAGAGACATACCTTCTGTACTATGCCTTGTCTGAGTTCCTGACCCAGATAATCATGAGCTTAATAAAATAATTGTTTATGCTACTAAACTTCAAGGTGGTTTATTATGCAGCAGTAGTAACTGGACCAACCACACAGAGCTTAATGTCCAACAAGGAATAACAATACTGAATATATAACTGCCTAGACCTAACACAGTAAACAGAACAGAGTAAATTATTTGTTGAGTGTTTAAAGTAGTTATTTTATGGCCATTTTGCAGATGAGGAACTGAACTCTGGGAGGTTAAGCAACTTGCCTTAGGCCTCTCAGCTGGTCAGTGGCAGAATAAATTAAATCTCAGATCTCAACTCACACTCCTAACATTATATTCTTCTGTCTCCCTTGGTACTTAAAATTTTATACTAAATACACAGCAATCTGTTTTAAAATGGGGGTTTGTCAGTATTTAATCATTCTGGTCAATAGAATTCACTGTGTAGTTTTATCACTGAGATGGAAACCCACATACTACCTTCTCAGAGAAGCCTTCTCTGACTTTCCTAGTTCAAGTAATTGCTTCACTCATCCTCCCCAGCCTTTCTAGTCCATCAGTTTAATTTTCTTCCAGCACTGATCCCTAGTTGAAATTGTCTTATTTATTAATTTATTCACATGTCTACTCTGACTGGAACATATGCTCCATCACAGCAGGAACCTTGTCTGCACTGTCCACTGCTATATGCCTCATGCCTAGGGCATTCTCTGGAATATGGTAGATGATCAAAAATTATTTACTGAATAAAGGAGTGACTGCATTCAGGCACACTGAAAGTCCACCCAATCTCATCACCCCCCAATAAGTGTGCAAACAGGGAGAATAAGAAAAAAACAATTTAAAATATCAGGACTGCAGCATAGTAATTCTATATAGTAAGGTCAGTACAAAAAAATGAAAGAGCACGGGAATCCATGCTACCACTCACAGACTTAGGAAATCATAAATCCTGAGTTTGAATGAAGATGTAAGTAATGGAGTAGGGGGGGTGGGCAGTCACACCTCCTATCCTCCATTCCTAACCACTCTTCCCTCACTGAAAATAATTCAGTTTCTTAAGATACACTGACTGAACCACACCAAGGACAACTGCTGGTGACCCTCTAACATCACACTTTCTACCCTTCATCTGGTCCTTCCTTATGTGCCAACCACACCTCCCTGGGATGCAGGTGCTTTTCCCCAGGGGAAGGGGGAGGCAGTAACCTAGTTCTTCAGGGAAGAGTGAGGAGGGGAATCTTCAGACCCAGGGCAAGGGTCTCTGCATATTCGGGTCCCCAAAAGCCCTATTTCTCCCAGGGGGTAAGATGGCCATTCCTGAGGACCTACGAAGTGCTAGGCACTATGCTCGGCTCCTAAACACACTTCTTCCTAATTTAATCGCCATTCCTTACCCCAACCCGCACATTTAGGGAGGCCTCAAGTGCCACTTCCCTATCTCAAAATTCTCCAGACACGCTACTCTCTAACCCAAAGAAATCCTCCTTAAACTCCAAAAGTGGTTAGAGAGGATAAAAAGAAATTTGGCATGGCCTAGGAGATTGAATGGGAGAGAGGTCGTGTGACAAGAAGAGGGTTATACTGGGCTAGGGCCCAGGATGAATAAAAATTAACATAAGAACGCGGTCTGACCCTTTCCAAGCCCAGTATGTCCATCAGAAGTGACGAAGAGCAGGAAACTGAAGCCCAGCAAATAGGTGGCCCCGAGACGAGGCCGCATCTCCATGGTGGTAACGCGCGGGGCCAAGGGGCTGACTAGACGCAGGCCGGAGTCGTAACAGGTCTGCACGGCTCCTCAAATGCTGTGCAGCCTAACCCCAGAGCGTTCCCTGGTTTGTTTCTCCTTTTGGGGGGGAGGGGTCTAAGCCTGAAGGAAGTGATGTCAGACGGATGTGGGTGGTGCCTCCCGGGTCCGGTTTGGGTTGGAGTTAGTTTAAAGGTGCAGATCACGTAGGCCGTTGTCGCTTATAAGCGGGATTCTGAATCTTCAGAGGATTGAGAGGGAAAAGGTGGGGAGAGACAGTGAGGGTTTGGGTGGGGAGGAGGTTCGGGAGAACCGTTGCTGGTTGCAACCGCCAGCAGGCTAGCCCCTCCCCCAAAGAACCACAGCACTTAATATTCACAAAGCAAATGACTGATCGGTGAAGTCACCCGCCGCTGTTAACAGTGGGAACGTTACCCACTGGCCTCCGGTCCCGCTGCCCCCTTCGCAAATAAAAAGGACTAGACCGGATTTCATTTTTAGTTTCTGCTCGGGTCTCGAGAAGATCTGCCAAAACTGTTCTGCGGTGCACGGTCTTGTGGCTTGCAAGAATGTCTCTTCCTGCTATAGAAAGAGCGCTGGACCTTATCCAGTCAGTGATGATGCAACCAAGTGATGCGAGCTCCGAGAAAACCAAACTCGGGATCGTTTATTGCAAAACTGACCTAGCTCTTCAGGGAGCCAGGGCATTAGTCGGTGCAGCCATTTAAAGTGTAAAACATCTTCTAGTTAAATCTGTTTTTGTTTTTCACTTTGTGGGTTGAGTATTTCTCAAATTCCCCTCTGATGCATAACAGATCCAAATTTCCCCTTTCCTCCTGAGTAGAGACTAATTTTGTCTCCACGCTTGTGTATCCGCACCAGTTGAGTCCGCCAGCGCGTATTTAATGCCTCGAGAAAGACATCCGACGAAAGTACACATCCAAACAAATACACACCACTCCTTCAGGTTCCCTACGAATTGAAGGAACGAACACAATGGAAAGCTCAGGAGACTTGCAAGCTCCAGAATGTAGCTCGGCAGCCTGCCCTTGCGGGCTCTCCATTGGGAGGCGCAGAGCAGGCTGGGCTTTGTAGTTCGTCCCTGCGCTCCGCGGATGGGCGGCTCTGCGGGACCGAGAGAGAGGCGGAGCCGGTGGTGTCACGTGGGCCCCGCTCCCGCCGCCGCCGCCGCCGCCGCCACCGCCACCGCCACCGCCGCTGTCTTTCTCTGTCTCCACTAAGGCAGCCATCTTACTCTTGCCGCGTGCTGGTGTTGGAAGAACCTCCCTGCTTCAGGTGAGACCCCCGGCGGTCCCGCCACTCCACGGCCATAGGCCGCTGCGCACGGTCTCCCCCCGCCCTCTTCTTCCGACACCCGCCAGCCGCTCGGGCTGCCACTTCCGCCGTGGCGCACCGAGTCGGGGTGGAGGCGGCTGGCTTGGCCTATCGGTTACCGGCGGTGCAGCTGGGGGTCGGCACCGGAGAGAAGGACCCCAGCACCACCGCTCCCTGTGGGGACAAGAGGCCCTGCGCTGTTGCCGCCAAGATCCGGTCCCAGGAGGCGGGTGGTTCCCCGCCTGTGTTCTGTTACAGTTCATTATTCACCACAACAATGCTGTGAGCTTTGAGCTTTGTACAGCTTATTTGTTGTCATCTCATTTGATCCTCCTCTCTACAGATCAGAAAACTGAAACTGTAAGCAGCCTCCGGCCCTCAAGCGCTTGGGACCTAATTCCGTTGCTGCTCTCTTCATCGCGTAATGGCAGTATTTGTTTACAAGCCGGCCTCCCTCTCTGAGGCATTGCCTTACCCATCTTTATAGCCCCTTTATTACTGCCTGATGCAGAGTAGGCTGTCAGGAAATTGATGTTTGACCGACAGGCAGGGTGTAACACAGCTAGTGAATGGCGGTTTCAACTTCGTTCCCACGTTGTTTCACTGTAACATAGCTGTCGCCTCTGGAGTGGCAACAATAGTTACCAGTTTTTGAGTATCTACTGTGAGCCCTACCCTGTGCTTAATAGTTTAACCGTTAATGCTTAAGACAACCTTGTGGTGCGAGGTGGTATTCCTTTTCCAGTATAGAAGGAACATAAGTTCAGAGAAGTTAAATACCTTTCCAAAGCCCTAAGTGGTGGAAACTGATCCTAGTTATTCCAAAGTCTGTGCCTCTTTTAGAGAAACTCACATATTAAAAAGTCAGGACTAAAGGTTGAAATTATTTTATCTCTGTGTAAACATGATACGTGAAGATGATGAAAGTGCCTACCATAATACTTAGAACTTAGGCACTCAATAAATACTGATTAGAACCTCATTATGTACCCTTTCTTGAGTCCTTGAGGAAAGGGCGAAAAGATCCTGGGATCCCTAAGGAAGAACACATTGATCATATGGGCTTAGAAAGTGACTTCTCCCTTCTGGGCCCTCATGTCCAAATATATTAAATTGGGAAGGAGTTGAACTGTTTTATTTACTTACAATTTATACCCTACTGCTGCTTGCAGGTATTTAAGATGATCTCACATATAAGACGGGAATAATAGGTACCATGAAGTAAAGGTTGACTGGGGAATAGGAAGTTAAACAGGTGATCTTTGAGGTCTAGTCTGATCTGAGCTTGACATCTCTTCTCTTACAGACTGAGAACAATACCCTTTCCTACTTGAATTCCACACACACCAACCTACTAGTAGACAAAGGACTACCCTTCTTCTTCCCCTGCCCCTTAAGTTTCCAACCTCCCTAAAATGCTATTTCTCTGAGGTACTAATTGGGAACAAGTTTTCTGTTGTCCTGGTTAACTGGAATGGCATCTATTCTTTCATCTACACATTGATATAAAGAGTTAACTTTTGTTCTTGCTTTTATTTCATACAAGTCAGAACTCTTATCTTACCTCTGTCTCTTCTCTTTCATCTCTTTTGGGGAGAATTATTACTTCAAAATTCTGAAGAGTCCCAAAATGCTTACCCTAAATCTAGTTCTAATATTTTCACTTACCTCCTATTTTGGAAAAAATTCCTTAGGTTCTTTGTTAGTTCACTATACCTTCATGACCACATTCCTTTGAGAAAACTTAATGTTGGGCCCTTTCTTGTGGATAGTGAGTATAGAGATTGGAATTACATTGACTAAGTATGTGGCTGAGACTGGCACACACCTAAGCCTTCTGGTTTTGTATTCTAATCACACTTCCTATAAAAGAGTGTTTTTAGGTACTTGAGCATGGTGGTACAGTGCTGTAATACAGAGCAGAGATTGAGGAAACATAAATGTTGTTTGGAAATTGGACTTTCTTTGGACTTGAAGCAGAGATATATACAGGTTAGTGCTTAAGTACAGCGTCAGAATACAGAATGGTTAATACTTATACAGTCTGAATCTCTTCTCAAATGGAGACAGTATCTTTTTCATCTGACTGTTGATGATAAAGAAGTTAAAGAATTGGCTGAAAAAGATTTGATAGTAGCCTTCTCTACATCTCTCTCTCACACCTCAGTTAATGATTTGTTAATCCACGGAACAAGTAAAACAAGACTTTTAACACTGGCTATTGTTGATAAAATATGGAATATTTTGATCCATTATAAACTTAAAAACTTTTTTTCCTTAGTAGGAATATCATTGACCAGACTAGGTTTCAGATTTTAGTGTTCTTAGAATTTTCAAAATCAAGATTATCCTTAAAAATCTCATTTTTTAAAGTCTCCTCTCCCCTCAAAAAAATTCAGATTAATGTAGCAGGCATGTTTTTGTCAAATTATGCAGTGAGGCATTTTACTGTGTATGCAATATATACCCTGTATATCTTGAAAAGTATGACGTACTATATCAGTGCAAGATAGTGAGTGAGCTCTGTGGAAAATGTTGCAGAATCACTGAGTGTCTGGAAATCTGTTTCTCTTTCCCTATTACTAACATGCCATCTGACCTTGAATAGAAGATGTGACTACCTCATACCTTAAGAACTAGACAGCCTAGTGTTGAATTTCTTCTTTGTCCAGTTTTGTTGTTGGTTTTTTTTTATGGTTTACAAGAAATACATATGTAATTTGGAAGAAAAAAGTCTACTGAAAGGTTGTGCTAATAACATTTGGTAACAGCTTTCTGCTTTAAACATCTTTGAGGGAAAAACTGGCTTGCCTGCAGAGGTTTTATAATTGGTTACATTTTACTGAATGCCAAAGTACTGAATCATGCTTTTAAGGAGGGATCTTCAAATAGGTAACTTTGAATCCTGTTCTGTTTTCTGTTTGTATATTCAGCTTCCTCATGGTATTATTTAATTTTGTTTTTTTTAATGTCTGGTTTATGAAGATAGAATAAGTTATATTTATTAAGAATATAGACAATATTAATATGATCATAATGGTGATACATATTGCAAGCTCAGTGAACCAGAAGGTATTATTGCATAAACAGTTATTTTATTTTGGTAAAACAGTGACTTTAACAAATCTATTTTTCCCCCCTAGATCTACCAACAGCATGAATCAAGAGAAGTTAGCCAAGCTTCAGGCTCAGGTCCGGATAGGGGGCAAGGTGAGTGTGGCATAAGAAAAATTGATAGGAGAATGTATTATTACCAGATAGTATTGTTATTTTTGATTTGTGGTCATTGAAAATCTAAAATCTTTTCAATAATCAAGATCAAACCACATTCCAACTTTAGAATAACTTGTCTAAACCTTAAATAGGTAACTAGAAGACCTCTCTCTGATGGTGCAATGGAAATAGTCAACTTTGTGTGAATCCTCTTAACAGCTTATAGTTATGTGACATGAACAAGTTTCCCAACCTCATTAAGCTTCCTTCTTCATCTGCAAAATAGAAATAATCCTAGATAAGATTCTTCTAAAGATTAGAGTAATATATATAAAACACCTAACATGTCTGGGACAGAGTAGATGCTTAATAAATGATGATGATTATTATGTTAGACTCACCTGCAGGGCATCCCAGGTGTTAAGGTTACCTCATCTTCACTTGATACACTTACCGTTACAGTTAGGTTTACCATTAGTTTAGCTGAAGCTGCTACATTTTGTTCATTGCTAGGTTTTCCTTCCAAATTCCTGCCTGTTCTTTTGTGTTGGTGAATATGAGCAACATGAACTTTGACACCTAAAGAAGAGCTAGCTCTGAGTACCAAAAAACTTAGATTCTCTTCAGCTCTGGCCCCAGGCTCTAGGAGAATATTCTGCCTTTTTCTCTGCCCAGTACAGTCTTTGCAAAAGGAAAACTGAGAATAGTACTCACCTTAGACCTGGGAGGGGGTAGGTAGGTAGGGTACTATGTAGCAGCACCACTGTGTGGTTTATTTGGATAACCACAGCTCCTGGGGATGGGACAGGAAAAGGGGAAGGAAAAAAGTGACTAGTACTTTCTCCTCCTTTCATAGTGATACAGTTATATGATTCTGGGGTCATATTAATACATTCATGTGACCAAAGCGTTACATTGTAGCATCAAGTATAAAGTAATTTACTAAGGCAAAAACTAGAGATACTTAAGAACCACAGAATATACCTGGAAGAGTTTGATGCAGTACATTACTATTAAATATTTTAAACTAGGTGGGCTCATTCATTCTTTTGGCTAGTTGAGCACCTACTATGACCATAGTAGATAAACAAATCAAGGTTTCCTCCTGTTGACACAGCTCAGCTTGGAAGAGAGATGTACTGACAGTTACACTACAGAATCAGAAATATTAAAATGAAGCACAAGGTACTCTTGCCTAGGAGAGACAAGAAAGTCATCACTGAGCTGAGATTTGAAGAATAAACAAGAAGTTATCACAGGGTAAGTGGGTAGGGTAAAAGGGTGATTGTTCTCACATATGCAAATACACATAGGATGATGAGATAGCATGGTGCTTAATGGAATGGCTTGCTCTAATTTAGTAACAGCTAGAGCTTAGAGTATATAACGGATAAGGAATGATAGGTGCAAATGAAACAGCCAGGTAAATTGGAACTAGATCATAGTTTTATATGCTACACTAAGGCATTTTAGATTTTATCCTATAGGCAAGGGGCTACTATTGAAGGATTATTTTAAGAAAAATATGTTATTTTAGATAGGTAACTGCTGCCAGGTGGAAAATGGAATGAAATATAAATTTGGTGTAGAGGAAAAGAATCAGGCTACTGCTGCAGTATATGGGACACAAATTTAGGGGTTAGAATTGACATAATGACTGATGGAATATGGGGGATAAAGAGGGGAGAGAAGAGTCTGGGATGGTCCTCAGATTTCTGGTTTTAGAGATTGGGTTGGGTATATGATGGTACCATCAGCCACAAAACTTAGAGTATATATAGGAAAATTAGTTTGGTAGACTGTTCAACTTTTAGACATGTCAGATTTGCCTAAGGATCATTTGAGTTGAAGTATCCAAAAAGCAATTGAGCTATCTCTGAGTCAGTAATGCTTTACAAATAAGTGATCATCTATGTAAATAGTCACTACTAGTACATCCTTCAGCATCTGGATTTCATCACAACCTGTACTGCTACTCACAGAACTCTCTTCCACTCCCACTAGAGTTGCTGAACTGAAGCCTCTGCTTAGCTTCTGTAAGTCTGATTCCCTGAGTACAACTGCAGGAGCTACCCAAACATTGAAACCTTCCATGCCAGTTCTCAGAAAGATTTAGCCCTCAAGACTTAGGTTGCTTTCAGTAGTGTTTCAACTCTGCTTTTGGTTACATTTTTGTAAATTGGCCCAGGAATTTAATCCATTATTTTAAATAGTTTTTCAATGGAAATATGTATTTAGAGTTTCAAAATACCCTTTTAGAAATGAGTTTTTTCTATCTCAGTAAATAGTATAATATTCAACCTATTTACTCAGGCCCAAATTCTAAACATTCTAGATTTCTTTTTTCCTCATATCCTACATTCAATCCGTCAGCAAGTTCTGTTGGTTCTTCTGACAGTCTGAGCTCTCACCATCTCCACTGCCGTAGCCCTCGTCTCTTATCAGGACTGCTCTAGTAGCTTCCTAATGATCTCATTACAGTTCATTTTCCATAGCAACCTCAGTCATCTTTTAAAATCATAGATCAAGTCAGTCATTCCCATGCTTAAAACCTTCCAATGGCTTCCTATTGCAATTGGAATAAAATTCAACTCCTGCCATGGCATTCTAGGCTACATGATCTGGCCCTGTCTGTTTTTCTGATTTCATTTTCCACGTCCTTTCCCATTATTCACTCTGCTCTAGCCATATTGGCCTGCTTTCTCTCTCTAGATACAACAGGTTCACTCTTGGTCTGTTCTGCTTGGTTCACTCTTCCCCTAGATCTTCCTTCCCATGGGTCTCAGCTCATATGTCACCTCTTTAGAGGGTCTTCCCTGAACATTCTAATGAAGTAGTAGGGGTGCAAATGTAGTCTTATCACTGTACTATGTTTTTTTCCTCAATATCCCTTTCCCATTTGAAATTATCTAATTTGTTTATATACTTACTGATTTTTCCCTCCTACTGTCATGTATGCTCCTTGAACTAAGAACTTGATCTTTTTCATTCCTTGGATTCTAGGACTCTAGAACACTCACATAGTAGGCATTTGATTCTTAATTATGTCATCATCTCCAAAGTTCCAGGAAAATATCTTTAGGCTTAATTTTATTGTCAGGGGTGGTAGGTACTGTAAAAAAGCATTCATTGTAATATTTGAAAGTTTTTATAAAGCACACTGAATTGTCCTGAAGTCCAAATTATTTTTTATTAGAGCACTTTTGAAACATGATGTGTTGAAACGATTAAGGATGGAAATTGGAAAGAATAAGAACCAGCTCAAACTGACCTTCAAAAATCTGGGTTAGGTTGACAGTCATTACTCTGAGAAGTCTTATTAATCAATACTATTAGGTCAGCAATTTCTTAATGTGGTTTTAATTAAGAGTGTTGTGGATAGAAAGATATGTGATTGCAGTTGCCAGATGCAAGGCATGCTAACACTCCTCTTTGGTTATTTTTCAGGGTACAGCTCGCAGAAAGAAGAAGGTGGTACATAGAACAGCTACAGCTGATGACAAAAAACTTCAGAGTTCTCTAAAAAAACTGGCTGTGAATAATATAGCTGGTATTGAAGAGGTATGATCATTTTGTAAATTGTTAAATTATGTAGACAAGTACGCATTCACAAATAGTTACCCGCTTTTTAAATGTAAAATATTAGCCTAGAAGAATCTGATACTGTCTACTCAGAGGTCTGTGAAGGACTGTAGTTGTTGAATTTGCGTATTGTATAAAATGGGATGATTGTCAAAAAAATGATTTTAGTAAAGGAATTCATCATACTTTTTGGATTCAAAGTATTTGCATGTATGACAATTATGGAACTGCTTCTTGAATTTTAATGTAAAATGAGATATTTTTTCTAATAATTTAGAAATAAACTCTGAGTTTCTTAAAATAAAATGGACTTTTTTCCCATAATAGCACCTTTCTACTCTGCAAATTCTAATTATTATTTCAGTCAAGAAGCTCTAGCAGTACCTTTACGTGGATTGGATTTCTTACTAGATCTCTTTCAGAAATTATTGGTTAAATTTTTAAAAACCATTTTAATAATGTTTTGATGATACTTCTTTTTTCAAGTGAAGCCAAACACTGATGTTATTTCAAAAGATACTGAAAAATTAAAAAATTATCAACTATTAGTGATGTTACCATCTAGGTCCACTTCTGCCTGATGATTCCATTTCTGAAAGTAATCAGTATTTTAATTTTCACTGCCATAAGTTAGACTTAATTATATCATTAGTATGTGTGGTACTACTTCACAATTTTAACAGAGTAATACACAAGTGCTATAAAACATAGATCAGAAATAATGTGGAGGGGAGATCACTAATAAAGAAATACCAAACCAAAGAAAAGGCAGTGAAATGGCAGGATGCCACATGTTCCTTCCACCATGCATATATAAATGAATGTTAACACAATTGAATCTGCTTTGTACTTTCAAAGTCAATATACTGATAAAATAATAGAAAATGTAAGCCACATGTATCTTTCAGCTTGATGTGGCTATGCGTTTTTACTCTGGTGAAGATAAGAATTTCATTTTAAAATCTTGAAATTAAGCATTTCATATGCATTTTCTTTTTCTGAGCTGGTGAAAGCTTTTACATATTTTCATTGACCTAAAATAATTTTCAGAGAGATCATTCTCTTTATCAGGGCTATATTTGAGCAAAAACAAATTTAATCCTCTCCTAAATAATCCAAAGCTTGATAAAAAAAGAGTAAGTCACAGTAATAGACATGAACTCTCATAATGTTAAACCTAAGCTACTTATAAGTGTTTAGGCAATCTTTTATTTGCCTACTTTTCTACCTGACTCCCCACCCCAATCCCAAACATCTCAGCACTAGAACCAGGTAAGTCTTGACTCCCCACCCCAATCACCTCAACACTGGAAGCACATAATTCTTTATTTACTGTCCTTATACTCTCTTATACCCACTCTTGGCCTTTTTCTTTCCTCCTGCCTCTCCCTCTTCTGTGTCCTCCTTATTCCCCACCAAAAAAAAAAAGAGAAAGTACCTGCCTTATGTTCTGTATTACTGAGTACCTACCATGTAGAATTCATTTTTTATGCCATTATAGATAAAAAAAAATACCCATCAGTATTTCCAAGGACACTGCTGTCTCTCCTTTTACGGGTCTTAATGCAGGCATTATTTCCTCCCATAAGCTTTCCTGGGTGTATGTAACACATACACATTTGTGTGAAGAAGCATTAGATGACTTTCCTATGTGCCTCTATAATGCCCTGTATTTACTTTATTATAGCATTTATTAAACTGCATTGTAAATTTCTTTTAGTTAATTGCCAGTGCAATTCTAACTTTTTGAGGAGTCATGGCTCCAAAACATCACACGGAAAATTAATGGCAAATATAATAGACACATACACACTCTCATTTCACCCGTACCCCTGTGTGTATGTGTGTGTGTTTGTGTGTGCGCGCACACATGGTTGGTATCTTCCAACCCTCAGACTAGTTGTACAAAGAAAATACGCAAAGATAATTAACAATGCAAGGTAATAACTGTAACATTCCTGAGTATTTGAACCTAAGATGGGAAGTTTTTTTTCCTCCTTCTAAAATTGATTTTTGAGAACTGAAACATTTGTACTTTTTATAACACTTTACAGATCTAAAATTATTTTGTTTAGGAATATCTAGTATACTCGCTGGCTGGCCTCAGACATTATTTGTGTTGCTATATTTAAAGTTGATTTTTTTTTTCAACTTTTTTCTTTTTTTTTTTTTAAGAAAATGACACATACTTGGCATAAAAAAGAGTTTCTTGGAGGGAGAAAAAAGAAACTGCAGTAAATACAAATATGAAAATGTACAGTTTTCGGAAACACCAAGATAGAAAAAATATATATGTCTTAGAAGAAACATTAATTACAGTTTTGTTATTTTAATTTGGGATGTTTTAAAATTTTTTCAACTCTGAAACTGAACTCAGGAATTCACCATCTTTTTGTTCTTTGGCAGTTTAAAAACAAAAACTTCCAAAAGAGAAGACACCATTGTCACTGTTCTAAAACAAAAATAATATTACTATGTTTTCTATACTTAGACATTCAAAATATCAAACAAGTAGAAAGTACTCAGTTTGACCGATGATCAGGGAGATCAGTAGTGGGTTTCAAAATTCCTTGAATGTACTTTTGCCAAGTAAAGTTCTGATCTTACTTTCTAGGGCTCTAAGGAATGGTGATATTTTGCCCCTCCCAAAGCTTAATTTATATCCTCTTTAGCAATTTTTAAAACTGAAGGGCTGTTTGGATTAAGACAAGCTTCTCTGTTTTTTCATGTATTTATTAGTTTGTTGATTTGGTGTAATAATGTAATCATATATAGATTTCTTTTACATGTTACCGAACACAGAAATACAAAGCTGTTAAAAAGTCAAGGGTAAGGGGATATTAGAGACTGTTTCATACAAAATCCAACTAAATAATTAGGTTTTAGGAAAGAATTCCTAGACAAACTCAGAGTATATTGCAGAACTAAATTTATGAAAATATTTTATGTTCTATGACATTTAAAAATATTTGGATGTGCTTATTTGGTAATCTAATTGAATATAGTGAATGCACTATATTCATATCCAGTGTACCTGTCTTCCCCTGATAATAATCTATCAACAATGGGACCTGTTCTATTTCTCAGAAACAGTTTATATTATAGATTTACTTGGTAAGAAATGTCACCAAAAATATGAATCTTTATTCAGATGGCCTAGTTGCTTCATAGTTGTACTGTTATATTCAGAGGACAGCTTCTGTCTTAACTGGGGTATATACTTCTGCCTCTGTGAAACCTTCTATTTTTCCAGGCATAGCTAATCAACCTTTTCTCTGTACTTCAGCTGCCCTTTGCTTAAGTTGCTCTGCCACAATAAATTTATTATTGCAACATCATATGCTGGGGTGTAATGGTTACTTATTAACCAAGTAATCTGTTTTCAGTAGACTGTAAGAGTCTTGACAGCAGGGACCATGTTAAATCATTGTTTATAGTCTGTAGCATGCTGATTCCCATGACGAGCTTGTTTTGGTTCTATTAAGTTTAAGAGATACTGGTTATTCTAAATGGAATTGCTCTGCAAGAACAATAGGGAGGTAGGTTCAGGAGAAAGCATAGGGCTGGGGATGTAAGCTTTATAACTGTACACGTAAGTTTTGCTGTTTATACTTTCCTCTTTCTGGTTATGTTTCCTAACCCACTTGTACAGAAGGAGGACCTAATGTTATTGGTTGATCTTTACCACAGTTTTTTCTCCAACTAGAGCCTCAGGTATTGATGAGTGGACAGCTCTTGTGTATAGGAGAGTAAATGGGAAGCACCATGTCCCATTCACCTGTCTTTCGACAACAACCTTACTTTATCATTTAAGATCCTGTTTTTTTAACATAAAACTTGCTGTTTCACTATTTTTAAGTGTACAATTCAGTGGCATTAATTACAATGACAGTATTGTGCAACCACTACCATTATCTATTTCCAAAATTTTTCATCATCCCAAACATAAGCTGTATACCCATTAAGGAATAACTCTTGTTCCCCCTCTTCTCCAGTCCCTGATAACCTCTAACCTACTTTCTGTTTCTGTGGATTTGCCTATTGTAGATATCTCATGTAAGTGGAATCATACATAGAAATATTTGTTCATTCATATCTAGCTTAGCATAATTTTTTAGAGTCCATCCATGTTTAACATGCATCAGAACTTAATTCCTTTTACAGCTGAATAATATTCCATTGTATGAATAATACCACATCCATTCATCTATTGGTGAACATCTTTTGTTCTTAAAATAACTCTCCCCCACCATTTAAAAATACACTATCTCTATAGAAAATTAAGAGTATACAGGAAATATGAAGACTATATTAAGTCTAATTATAATCCCACTGCCCAGAAATAACTACTGTAAATCTTGTATTTCCCCTCTTTATATGTATATATTGTTAATATATTTGAGACTGTAGCTAGATGTACAATTTGGAATCCTTTTTCTTTTCCAAATAACATTATAAAAATTGTTTCATATCACTAAAAAACTCCTTAATTATCAGTCTAGAAGTCCACATATATTCCAATATAGGGATATACCATAATTTAACATTTATTTATTGTATATTATAATGCTTTGATAAAAAATCACATGATAAACTTTTATATACATAAATAAATAGTTATCTTCATCTCTGATTTCCTTCAGATTGATTTTTGGAAATGCAATTACTAGCTGAAAGAGCATGAACATTTTCTTTCATATTGCCAGGTTTCTTTACAGAAAGGGTATCCATTTTATACTTCCTATACCATGGCTGTAGAGAATCCATCTCATCAGACTCTTACCACTGGAGCATAAGAGAAAGTGATCCAAGCATGTCATATAGTCTAATGACAGCTGTTAGCTTTAGTTCATATCAACAATAATAGGTTATACTTCATACTAGCTTTTAGAAACAAGCAGGTGCTGAGCTTAGAAGGATTGCATATGAAAGATACTGACTTACAGGGGCATGTGCAAACCCCATAATCCTCAAAATCT